TTTCGACGACACATGTTCTGTGCAGTGTTTAATTAAAAAAATGTTTTTTTTCAATCTTTAAGACAGTTCTGATAGGCTCTGACACAATATTAATATAGAGATACTTAGTGGGTTTGTTTAGTTAAAAACTTATTGTATAAGTTTTTAGTAATGCAAAATTTTTTGAACTTGTTAATTTATCTTTTAATGAATCTAACTAGAATGTTATTTTCCAATAATTATAACGATAAAAAAGGAGATAAAATATCTTAAATGAATTAGATTTTTTTTCACTTTTTTGGATAGATGGATTAGATTCATTTTTACAAATAGATAATTATATTTGATTAATTTTTTTTATATATGATTTTAAATATATAAATCTTAATTGTCAATTAAAATAATTCATGATATATATAGATATATATATACTCATTTTGGAGATTATAAATGTTGCAGCGTCCATGTTAAATAGGCCAAGTCACCCATGTTTTATTTATTTTCTCAAAAACGGCCGGATTATTCAGTCAAGGAAATATTTGAGTAATTAAGTTGCTGGATTTAAGTACTAATGATATTTTTTTTGCATTTTTTGCTGTATGCAGTTCATTAATAAAAAATGTTTCAAGGTATTCAATCTGCATTAAATGCCAATTGATATTAATGTTACTCCATTTTATCTTTGCAGTCATTTCCCATGGCTTTTGCTCTGGTTTTGACTGGATTCCTCTTTGCAACCATGTCTTTGAGGCAAGGTGAGTTCACTTTAGTTTAAGTTGAAGATACAAATATATTTGAAAGGATGACGGCAGAGAATATGAAAATAGGAGGGATGACAGCANATATATATATACTCATTTTGGAGATTATAAATGTTGCAGCGTCCATGTTAAATAGGCCAAGTCACCCATGTTTTATTTATTTTCTCAAAAACGGCCGGATTATTCAGTCAAGGAAATATTTGAGTAATTAAGTTGCTGGATTTAAGTACTAATGATATTTTTTTTGCATTTTTTGCTGTATGCAGTTCATTAATAAAAAATGTTTCAAGGTATTCAATCTGCATTAAATGCCAATTGATATTAATGTTACTCCATTTTATCTTTGCAGTCATTTCCCATGGCTTTTGCTCTGGTTTTGACTGGATTCCTCTTTGCAACCATGTCTTTGAGGCAAGGTGAGTTCACTTTAGTTTAAGTTGAAGATACAAATATATTTGAAAGGATGACGGCAGAGAATATGAAAATAGGAGGGATGACAGCAGAGAGGCTAATGACTAATTAGTTAATAATACATACAAAATGACAAACCCTTCTTGACACTCATTGTCCTGATCTATTTAGAAACAATAATCTCAATATATATATAATCTCATGTTGGATGATACAAGAAACAACATTCCCAACATTTAATGAAACATGTAACTTTCTGTAGTTGGGTAAAAATTTAAAAATAAAAGAGACCGAGTCTTGATCAGAAAGCATGATGCCATCCAATTTTCATGTGATCCAATTTCGTACAATTTAGCATTTTTCGTTATAACTTCTATTCCACATTACATTTCCTCAAGATAAATTTCAATTAAAGTGGTCAGATGTCTTGCACCTGATGGTGTGAAATTTTCATGCCTAGGGTTTCTAGATATTTGAGCAAAAACTTGAGATGAAATTTGTTAGGATTTAGTGCTTACCTTTTTGTTGAGATATTGTAAAAAGAATGGCATATGCCTGTACTTGATATATTATTTTTAAGTTGTTTTGAAGTTTGGTTGGCTTCCAAGGAAATTTTGTCCGTTGTTTTTGTACCAGATACTTATGCTATATGTTGACTCTTACTAGCCTAGGTTAAGGTTAAGGACTCTCACAAGTGTCTGATTGATTCACTTTTTTCTTCATGTGGTGTGATATATGGACTTTAAAAGAGATAATCTTTTGTTCATTGTTCCAACAGTGCAATACGATTTTCGGCACTTCTTCTTTTCACTAATGTGGGCGGGCATTAGTGTGGGTATAGCAGCATTTGTGAGGGCCAACGGCCGTGTTTTCTGCAACAGACCTCGCCTACACAATCCCCGGTGATAACTCGTATACAGATCAGTTTGAACAATTTAATTTTTTATGTGAAGGTCCAGCTTCTGCAGCAGGAATCACCGGCAGAAGACTTAGTTCTACATCTAGATCAATATTTATGTGAGGCTCCTTCTTGCAGCTTATTATATTTATTCTTGCTAATTTGTAATCATTGTAGCTTCCAGATATATATTCATATCATAGTCCATTCATCTCCCATTTGACTGATCGCTACTTTACTGGTGTTTTCTTATGCACCGGCTGTTCCCTGTATATTTAAGTTTGTATTTGTGCCTTCTTTATAAGATTATGGAGACATTTTAAGGTTCTTAGGAAACACACTGATTTCATTATCTACTATTATTTTAAGCAAAGTATTTATTTCTGCATTTATTTTATATTTTTATTTCAAAAATCAAGGCTACTGCATGTTTGCTGTAGTGTAGGATGTGCATTCTATGTTTACCAGACCGGGTTTTCTAGAATAGTTATAAATTATTGATAAAAGGAAGGGAGAAAGTCCGTAAAATAACATTAGCAGTTGTACGTGCTATATCCAACGGAAGCATCTTTCAAGTAGCTGAACATGATCTTTGTTACTTCGATAGTTTATTATTTATTTGTTAAACTCACAAAACTTAGAGACTTAGTAATAACATGCAAAATTTAAGAGATGAATTCAATTATAATAGGGAAAACCTTAGAAGATAAAATAATTTATAATAAGTTAAAATAATTAATAAATATTATATGAATATACTTTCATTTTTTTTACGTTTAAATTAGATTTATTACTTTTTTTTACCAACAAAATATGGTTTTTAATTATTAATTAAAAACGTGTACTGGTAATTTATATGTTTAAAAACATACGGCAATAAATAACTAAACAAATTAAAATTGGAAGGAAGGAAAGATAAAAAGGTCAAGAAACATCTATACAAAATAAATGTAAAAGTCAGCCACCATGGATTTGTTTAACTTTTACTTTGGCGCCCCGCTGCTCCAAACTTACTGTGTTTTTTTTTTTCAGAAAACTTTCTTTCATATCATATTTTGTTACCCAGATGAAATACGTTCCTAAATTAAATTTTTGTTTAAAAACCCAGATTTAAATTTCATCATAGACTTAGAGTCGAAATATTCAGCATCTCTGTAAATTTCTTTTTTCACCTTCACATATGGGCAGAAAGATTAAATTGTCTAGTGCATCATTTAAAAATATATTCTAAATTTTTAAAAATACATTCTGAGTTGTAGAATCTAAAATTTAAAAATGTAGTTCAGATAGTACATTACAGGATATGTCTCTAAATTGTATAAACTAGAATATGTTTCTAGAATCTATAATTCGAAAATACATTATTTTAGAATATGTTTGCATATATTATTATGGATCAATTTATAATAAAATTTTCAATTGTGTAACTAAAAATTTAAAAACATATTTCTACCATTTAATAATATATTGTCATATAATTGTGATGACTCCTTGTTGAGCTTGTTTGCAATGGAAAAAATAAAGTGATGGATGTTTACGGAAGCTTGAGTGACAATGGTGATTCAGAGGACTAGAATGGAAGTGTAGAATATTTTTCTTAAGAAGTTGAGAAAAAAATCTTTGCAGAGTTTCATTAACATTCATGAATGATTTTATAAAGGGGTGAAGAACACCTTAATTTATAGGGTCAAATTTGACTTAAAACTGCACAAATAAAGGGAAATTCAAATTCAAATATTCTCTCATGTTCTTCTAAAATTACGACACCATGTGTTAAATGAGAAGAGTGTGCACGTCTCTTAGTCTTGGATGATCGGCCTATGGTTTCTCTTAAACTTAGGTAGTCCAATTGGAACCATAAGTAGGTAGGTTTCTCTTACCTAAACAAACCCAAATTTATTTTAGTTCCAAACACAATCCAAAAATCTTAACTATTTTATTCTGTACATTTTATTATTTTCTAGAGTGAACCTCTTCAGAGAGGATCTTAGGCCCAATAAGGATGTTGGAGCCCAATGGAGCTCAAATATCCTCTGAGCTCTTGATCCATAATAATATATGCAAACATATTCTTTTGAGTTCATCTACAAATAAATTTGTTAATTAAAATTGTTAGAAAATTTGATCACATCAAAGTTATTCATTTAATCATGATACATATACTTTTTTGTTTAGAAAACTGATGTGAGTGATTTGAAATTGAGTAAAAAACATTATTAACTCTAGTAAAACAATTTTTTAAATTAGATTTTAAAATCAAAGATTAAAAAGTCTCAAACATGTTAAATTTTGATATGATGTTGTTTTCAAATACAGTATATATTATAACTAGTCGGTGAAATTGATAGGATCTCACATCGTCAACATAAAAGGGTGTTGCTATCTGTAGCTAGGCAGAATAAACCCAATTAGTGTTGTAAAATGTTCTGCCTCTTAACTCTGAAAGTATAAGCTAATCTTCATATTACCTAATTAAACCTTTCTTATATATACAATGAATCTCGTAACATGTTTTGACTCTTGACCATAAAATTAGGTAATGTTTCAATCACCTATCAATGAATCAGGTGGCATGTTCAAAGTTTTGGATTACCCTCATCATCCGCAAAGAAAAAAAAATCAGAAATTGGATTTTTAACAATATTTATGCAAAATAAACACAGAATAACACAGAAAGAAAACACTTTTATTAGCAGGGCAGCTTTGTAATACATTATATATCATTCAACTTAGAACATGTTTTAATTACAACACAAAAAAATAAAGGCAGAAAACAGACAAGCAAAATTCTAATAAATCCATACACCCCAGAAATGAACACATTATTATGACTAGAAGAAAAAGAAAATTTTCAGAAACAAAACAAAAAAACTGTAAACAACAGCAACAAACCTTAACTCAACCTCACTGTGTTACATAATAATAAAGAGATATTTTGATGATTTAAGGTTTTAATAAGAAGGTGGAGATGGATATGGAGGCCAGTAAAGATGAAAACCAATCTCGTAGACAAGTGTTGAAGACTTTGCATGAAGGGGAGAAGAGGTAACATAGCCATGCACAAACAAGAAATCTTCTGTGCCTCCTACAACGGGATAATCCGAACGCTCGAAGGTATTAGTGCCTCCAACAATGGAAATGGAGCCTTTGTGATTCTTCACCCGAAGAGTTAACTTTGCAACAGAAATGCAGCTGAGTCCATCAAGACCAGAGGTGATGGAAGTTCCTTCTGCAGTTCCCAGTTGTTTGGAGGATCTGTTTGCTTTTGCAGTCAAAGGGTCCTGAAAGACCAAAAGAGTGCCAAAAAGGCTTGAGCTTTCACCCTTTCCTTCACTTCCTTCCACGCCATTCACTGTCACAAAACCTGTTTTGTTTCTGCTTTCGTGTTGGAACAAGGTGAAGTGAAGGGATTTTGGAGTAGGGTTGCCACGCTCACGGCGGTTCTTGTGGCTGAGATGGGAGCCACCGGTGCCCTCAAATGGGATTACGGCCAAAAGTGAAAGGAAAACTGGAACAGCGTAGTTATGGAAAGCAAATGCCATTGTTAGGTTTGTTTTTTCTCAGAAGAAAACTGGGTTTGTAATATATATTCTATGTGTTGCAGTATATATAGTGTGATGGCATCATCAATGAAAATGATGGATAAGTAAACTAACAACTAATAATTACTTATGATAAACTGAATTGTGTTATATCCTGTCATAATAATATCATCATCATCAATAATTTTAAAGAAAAAATAATATATTGAAAATAAGTGTATACTTTTAATCTGTAATTCATAGAGAATTGTTAAACTTCATTCTTTACCTATCACAAGCTAGTTTGGACCTGAATAAAATATGGAACATATGCATCTTCATAATCATCAACATTATTATTCCTGATTCTACTCTCAAAAATAAATTTTATATATATATATATATATATAT